GAGGAAAACCTAAAAGATAATATTAAAAATACAGCAACAATGGTGCAATACTAACACAGCCACCGACAGATGATCCCGGAACGAAGCTTAAGCGCAGGAAATGTCACAAACTCGAACACGCTGGAATGAAGAAGATCGAAGACGATTAGATGTAGAAGGCTATGAGGTGTATTGCATCAGTTGTCCAACACCAGCACGAACATCACTTGTCCGCTCCCACAGACAATGCAGCTTGGCAAAACTCCAACGTCCAAACGGTGACTCCTCCAGACTGGGCGGTCGTGAATACGACTAGGGCGCTCCAGCCAAGCAGGACGGTCGTGAATACGACTAGGGCGTCCGCTTACCCCTCAAAGATGGAATAACCAGGACATCAGACAGGAATTAACTTCATTTGAGTGTTGTTGGTGATAACAGCTCAAAACCTCAACATAACCTCGTCGGTTTGTGAGTTGAATGATGCATAGCATCGGCATCGATGGCATCGGCCGAAAATTAAAATGGCTGACAAAGACAAGTCTGCAAAAGCCATTGACGTATAATGCAAAAGCGAACATTGAACAATGCACTGTGAAGCACGCGTCAAGGTTGGAAAGTTCAGCGAAGCACTGATGAATTGATGATAGTGCTGGTATCAGGTTGTGATACACAAATAAATTAAACACATAAGGATTGCATCCTTCCGCACGATCAGGGTGTTCCGCGAAAAAGGCCAGTAAAACACTACAACTCGTGCCCCACGTTGGGCGCCATATCTGAAGCCGGGGCCCGCAAGCCTCAAACGAGATAGAGAATGAAATCAGGTGGATAAAGTGAACACGAGTAGGTTTTTAGAGTTCAAATAGCGGAAGGAGCCTGAAGCACATGATTGAGGATAAAAACACTAGGTGGGGCCGAAGCCCCACCCTTTCAAAAGGGATGATGAAAAAACTTACGTGAAGTCTCCTATGGAGATCTCAAAAAGACTAATGGCGGCCGGGCCCCCCACTCCCCAGGCAATGCCAATTGCCCTCTCCCCACTGGCCGACAGCCAGTAGAGAGAGACCAATCAACGTGCCCTGGGACTGGAGGGACCAAACCGCGCAAATTCAAATTTAAATTTAATGTCCGGAGACCGGGTTACAAACATTCGAAACAAGTTGAGTGAACGAAATCATAAATAAGAGAGAAAGAAATAAAACCACAGTTTTTCAAGACGTTCCATCAGATTTCATCCGAAAAATAGAGCAAATAGAGTAAAATTTTCAGAATTTTCTAGGGAGGCTAGGGGAGGGGGAGGGGAAGGAGGCTACGTTAAACCACCCCCCCCCCCCCCCGGATGGCGCACGCTAGAGCTTGCCCTGTCACTGAACCCACCGCACGCCACTGCTTCCTATAGAACCAAAATTGCAACTTCCTCTTCATGAAGCACAGAATGATGTAAAAGTTCCTTACAGAGCACTATACTAGGTAGTTTAATGTGACGTATGTTAAGGACTAAACCTGACCCTTGTTAAGTTGTGAATTTCTCTTCTAAATTTCAAAATAATGTATCTCTCTCTCAGTGGAAACACTTGAAAAATTTATTGCGATATCTTAAAGGTATCCTTGATTACTCTTTAATTTTTGGAAAAGGACAGTCTGTTCTCCCCAAAGACATAAAGACGGAGTGCTCGTATCTAAAAGCATGGGGAAAAAGTGAAGCCTGGTTTGACGGTGGGTGCTTGTGTGAGTGTGTAAATGAGCGCGGGAATCCATGGCGGCAAACGGAAATTTGATTTGAACTTGTCCTCTTGATTTTTCCACATTTCCTCTTCGAAACGTATTTAAAATGCCTAAAACGAATATATTAAGAGAGTTGGGACTGCGTCCTATTATAATACCTACACCTACTTTTGCTCAGTAACAGGCAGTGATCTCAGATAAAGTTAGTTTTTCTTCTGCTCATGGTGGTTCTGCCGGTTCAAACAGGCCGTTACAGTCGTAGATGACCGTTACTCCCAAATGAAATTAATCGGTCGACGACGAACCAAAACTAACCTAAAGTTATAAAAATATGAGTGTGTAAGTGAATTTGGGCAAAAATCAACCTAAATTACTTTGCATCTGCAATTTTATTTAGTTCCCGCCCTACATTTGAATTTCAAACTTGTCCCGATTTCGCCGCCAATCCTCTAGCCAATAGTAGAGGTGATTGAAAAGAAGCTTCATTTTTTGCTTTTAGCGCTCCGTCTTTATGTCTTTGGTTCTCCCACTAGGAAGTTAAGTTGACTCTGATTTTGCAAATGATATTATACAGGGTGTCCCAAAAGTCCCTTCCAGCCCCTCTAAAATTTTATCTAATTAATATTTTGAAACGAAACTTTGGGGATGTTCATCGATCAATGTTAGCTACTTTTGGGGTCCCCCAAAATTTTCGGGCCCCCCGTGGGGAGGGGCTACGGACCCCAACTTTTTTTTTCAAATAGTAACCCCTATCTTGTGATACCTCATTCGAAAGAGCATAAAAAACTAAGAATTTTGGCGCAAACCGCAGATCAATATCTTAATTTTTGACCGAGTCATGATAGGTCAAAGGTCAAATTTGACCTATTTTCAAAAAATCATAACTTCGGTTCAAATTATCGTAATGAAAAATATAAAACGGGAAAATTTACCAAATTGTAAGTACTTTTAAGTAAAAATCACAGAAATTACTTCAAACTAATTTTAAGGGGGGTTTCGGACCCCCGAATACGTCAATTCAAAGGTCATTCAATTTTCCCGCGAAATAAGCCAATTTCCCCCAGATTTGCCCCCACATTAGTTCAGTAAGGTCAAAATCAGTTCAATATTGCGTTGGCAAGTCCCCAAATTTTGGGAAAAGTTAAAAAAAAAATTTAAACGGTCAAATTTTATCACCTTAAATTTCGTTTTTTTTTTTAACTTTTCCCGAAATTTGGGGACTTGCCAACGTAATGTTGAACTGATTTTGACCTTACTGAACTAATGTGGGGGCAAATCTGGGGGAAATTGGCTTATTTCGCGGGAAAATTGAATGACCTTTGAATTGACGTATTCGGGGGTCCGAAACCCCCCTTAAAATTAGTTTGAAGTAATTTCTGTGATTTTTACTTAAAAGTGCTTACAATTTGGTAAATTTTCCCGTTTTATATTTTTCATTACGATAATTTGAACCGAAGTTATGATTTTTTGAAAATAGGTCAAATTTGACCTTTGACCTATCATGACTCGGTCAAAAAATTAAGATATTGATCTGCGGTTTGCGCCAAAATTCTTAGTTTTTTATGCTCTTTCGAATGAGGTATCACAAGATAGGGGTTACTATTTGAAAAAAAAAGTTGGGGTCCGCAGCCCCTCCCCACGAGGGGGCCCGAAAATTTTGGGGGACCCCAAAAGTAGCTAACATTGATCGATGAACATCCCCAAAGTTTCGTTTCAAAATAATAATTAGGTAAAATTTTAGAGGGGGTGGAAGGGACTTTTGGGACACCCTTAGACCGTAACCCAAGTAGCAGAGGTTGCAACAACTTGCAACAAAATCCTTCGATTCTTGCAACTAATAGATTGACGTGCAGATTGCCTACTCTCTCCCCCGAAGGAGCTATCATTGTTGGAACTAGTTCCAATTAAGTTGAAACATGTTTCAACTTCAAAGTATTGCTGGTTGCCTATCTTCAGATTTTAAACAACTTCGGTTCAGCAATTTTGCAATCTCAGCAGGTTGCAACTTTGTCTTCCGATCAGATCGCCAAAAATCGGCACTTATCTATCGACCAAAAGTTGACCGAAAGTTGAAACTTTTTTGCAACTAATACCAACATTGTTTCAACTTGTTGCAACTTTTGCATTGAAAAATGCTACTTGGGTAATATTCGGAAACGGCTCCACAAACCGAAAATTGCTCAAATAGCCAGAGCTGGAAACAGGCGAAAACTTTCAATAATAACTAACAAAGCAAAAAGGAAACAACCGGAAATAGCTGGAAACAACCGGAAATAGATAGAGACATCCGAAAATAGCTGGAGACACCCGGCAATAGTCATCAGAGTAGGTAGCCGAAAATCGTCAGAGAACTCGTTAAAAGCCTCAAACTGCAAAACTAAACCAGAAATAGTCAAAAACTCGTGGTATATAATGTCAGGAAATGCCTTGGGTTCTGGGGAGGGAGGGAGGGTAGGTAGTCGGTAGGGATTTTTCATTGTTGGAGGGCAGGGGGGATCGGTACTACACGCCTTTTTCTCACTTCCCCAGGGGTACCATGCAAGGTTTTTTCTAACGAGCTATACTCCTCAACTTTGAAATGGGGGGGGGGG